AGCTCTGGCGTGGGCTGGTCCATGGGGTCACGAAGAGTCGGAGACGACTGAACGAATGAACAACAACAACAATGGTAAATTTAATACTCTGGGGGAACATGGTGAATTTGAGTGGGCGCTAAGCTCTCCCAGGGCAATCTCCCTCAGCCTTTGCTTCAGGGACTTCTGTGCCATTTTGAATCCCAGATGGAGCAGAAGGGGTGCAGATAGTCCAGTTGAGGCTGCTTTTCGTTCAGTCCTCCATGCCCAAAGGGGTTTGGAGGCTTCATGAGGGAGGTGATGCAGTCAACCTTTTCCCAGTTTGAAAACCATGGTTTTTAACCACAGATTCGTTTTCAGAGTCCAGGCCCTAGTGCTCAGTTGCATTCACCCTTTTCTAGGAGCAGGACTGCATTTGGTACAGAAGGAGGCACATTTAGAAGATCTCTTATAAACCTTGCTTGCACTCTATCTAGGATAGTAAAAAGTAAAGGTTGTCCCCTGACATTAAGTCAGCTAATCACCTCTCAACAAAGGATTCTCCCTAAAAACTGTCAGGCTATGAAATGGTAATCAAGGTGGCCAATTGAAACATTCATACCTACCTCCCAACAGACAAGAGTTCTTTCTCCCACCCTGGATCTTCCACAATTTTCCTAGTTAAAGGTTTTTCTCTGACATGAAGTCCAGTCGTGTCTGGCTCTGGCGTGTGGTGCTCATCTCCATTTCTAGGCCGAAGAGCCGGCGTTGTCTGTAGACACCTCCAAGATCATGTGGCCGGCATGACTGCATGGAGCACCGTTATCTAGGATAGGGGTCCTCAAACTTTGTAAACGGAGGGCCAGGTCACAGTCCCTCAAACTGTTGGAGGGCTGGATTATAATTTGAAAAAAAATGTATGAATTCCTATGCATATCTTATTTGTAGTGCAAAAAACACTTAAAAACAATACTGAAATTAAAATGAAGAGCAATTTTAACAAATATAAACTTATTAGTATTTCAATGGGAAATGTAGACCTGCTTTTGGCTGACGAGATAGGATTGTTGTTGTTATTGTTGTTCTTGTCATTTCAGACTTAGATTGACCCTGAGTGAGGGCCAGGTAAATGACCTTGGAGGGCCATTTCACGCCCCCAGGCTTTAGTTTGGGGGTCCCTGATCTAGGAGAACAGTCGAGCTTTCACACCATATGGCTGCATCAGAGAGGAATTTAGAGGCTGTTTTGGCATTAAAGATTTTTAGTGCAGAGGGGACATACGGTCCTTTGGTGTAATAGATCTTCTTAAGGCTGCTCGACAGGCCTTTGTCTTTTGAATCACAATTTCAGAGTGCTCTCTCCAGGATAAGGTGTGGTGCAAGTTAAAGTCCCAAATACTGGAAGCTTCTAACCTGCTCCAGAGAGCAGTTATACACCCGACTGGGGTATTGGGTGGCAACCTGTGCTGGACGGGGTTGCACTCCCCCTGAAGTCACAGGTCCGCAGTTTGAGGGTCCTCCTGGACTCAGCACTGACGCTTGATGCGCAGGTGTCGGCGGTGACCAGGAGGGCCTTTGCACAGTTCATAGAATCAGAGAGTTGGAAGAGACTTCATGGGCCATCCTGTCCAACCCCATTCTGCCAAGAAGCAGGAATATTGCATTCAAATCACCCCTGACAGATGGCCATCCAGCCTCTGTTCAAAAGCTTCCAAAGAAGGAGCCTCCACCACACTCCGGGGCAGAGAGTTCCACTGCTGAACGGCTCTCACAGTCAGGAAGTTAAAACTCACAGTTAAAACTTGTGCGCCAACTGCAACCATATCTCATGAAGTCGGACTTGGCCATGCCTTCGTTTCCTCCAGACAGGATTACTGCAATCCGCTCTACGTGGGGCTTCCCTTGAAGACGGTCCAGAAACTATAGCTTGTCCAATGTTCAGTGGCCAGATTAATAATGGGGGCGAATTACAGGGAGCGGATGACCCCTCTGTTTAAGGAGCTCCACTGGGTGCCGTTCATTTTCCGGTCCCAATTCAAGGTTCCGGTCGTCACCTATAAAGCCCTAAACGGTTTGGGACCTGCCTACCTTCGTGACTGTATCTCTCTCCATGAAGCTGCCCGATCCCTTCGATCTTCACGGAGGCTCTCCTGTCACCTCTGCTGTTATCTCAGGTCTACCTTGTGGGAACAAGGGAGAGAGCTTTCTCCTCAGTAGCCCTCGACTTTGGAATACACTGCCCAGTGAGATTAGGTGAGCCCCCACCTTAGAAAGTTTTAAGAAGACTCTCAAAACCTGGCTCTTCTGTTGCGCTTTTGGTGATTAACCATACAATCTGATATTGCTGCTACGCCTCAACATTTGCCCTTAGAGTATACCTCCTCCTCTCCTGTACAAAGACCTTTCTTGACCTCGTGTTCGAAGAGTTTCTCCTTCACAAATAATCACAAATAATCTTCACAAATTTTAGTTTTTAGCTTTTGGATTTTATTCTGTACATGCGGCCCACTCACTGTCACAATCACTGTGTTATGACTGATTTTAATTTTATATTGTTTGCTGTATTTTTATGTTTTATGTAATTTATCTTGTTATTGTGTGTGTTTTGATTTCCTTTATTGTATCGTGTTGTTGGGCTTGGCCTCATATAAGCCGCCCCGAGTTCCCATCAGGAAGATGGTGGCGGGGTATAAATAAAGATGATGATGATGATGATGATTATGATTATGATTATTATTTGTCAGTGACCCATTTATAATTTGTAAATTTTCTTTCAGAAGCCAGAACTTTTGATTTGATGAAATTTATATTTAGCTTATTTGTTTCACAATATTCTGTAAAGTTCCTAAGTTGATGTATGAGCCCTGGTCCAGACCTGGAGAGGACGGCAGTATCATCTGCATACAGCAAGATGGGGACGCTCCTTTTACCCAATCTGGATAGGTGACCTTGTGGGTCCATCATGACTTCCTCAAGATCATTCAGGAATAAGTTAAACAGAGTAGGAGCTAAGATACAGCCCTGCCTTACCCCTCTGGTCATTTGAATTGGCCCCGAAATTTGGCCATGGGGCCCACATCTGACCTGTATCACTGTTCAAAGGAGAAAAAGTTGCGGGCCTGAAAATAGTTGTTCTTTTATGATTTTGGGGTGCTGAAAATGAAAATGACATTTAAAAATGTATATTGGCTCTAGTTTTTATGATATAAGCAATCACGTGATCACGTATGGTTGAAAAAATGCATGTTGCGACTTACACTATGGAAGATTCTAGAATATTCTAGAAAGTTTGATGACGCAGTATTAGTGCCGTGTGCAAAAGCCAGAAAGCCCTATATAAGGCCAGCCTTTTGAACGGTGAGGGTCAGTCAGTTGAAGACTGAGACGGTATCGTTAAACATCATTTTACATTGTTCTTTTGACTGTAGTTATGCCTCGTATGTGTGTAAATAAAGCACTATGGAAAAAAGAGATCAAGGCCAATGGACTCCGTCCATGCTGTCAGACTC